AATTAACAGAAAATAATAGTAAATTAATTAATAGAGCAGCACGTCGAATTTGTATCAATTCGAGCAGAAGCAAATCAAAGGCAGATTGTTGCGGCGAAATACGAATCGCGCGCGCGCGCGCGTCCGACAATTCTAATCGTTTGGCCCGAAGGTTTAGGGGAGGAGGGAAGCTTTCGCTTCGGAGCGTCGGTAATTCAGTGGCGAGCGGGTTCCCGGGACAGGTCGGCAGGGTTCACGCGGTTCACGCGGTTCACACGCGCGCGGAAACGCTGGGACACTTGTGCCTTTAACGACCGGAATTTGTCTGGCCAGGCAGGTACACGATACGCCGGGCTAGGTAGGTAATCAGGAAGCGAGGAAAGTCGAAGGAGACTAACGAGTCGTATTAGGAATGGATAAATAGGCACTCGTCTCCGGAGACTTTTTCCTTTCCGGCGCTGCGGCCGGTCCGCCACCGGACGGACTGGTCGGCTCACTCCCGTGATAGATCTGTGTCTGGTGAAACGCTTTCGCCATAAGATACCCGAGATACCGGCGCTGTCATACAATTCGTAACATCGCTCAAGCGCGCCGACTTTTGAACGATCTTTTTTCTTTCTTCGAAATAGAACAGATCTCGGTTGAAAAATAAATTACGAATAAATAGAGATCGCTTATTTAAATATGTATTTGCGAAATGGAACGATCGATCGAGGACCATTTAAGTAATTAATACTTTTATAGTTGGTAGAAATTATTATTAAATTATGTTATCACCGGACTGTAAATTTTGTGCACAAGCGAAAACAATGAATAGGTTATGTATTAGTACGTTGAAAGATTTTAAGGATATTGTTATATTATTATTAATTATATTATATTTATTATAATAATTATATCATTATATATATATTATAATTTCATTATTATATATATATATATGTTATTATAAATTATTAATAACGTTATATATTATAATTATATTATTATAGAGATACAACTAAAAACAAAAATGGCGTTTGTAAGCGCGATAATTTCGTCGAGCAAGAATATCAAGCGAAACTTCGAAGAAATCGCAAACGCTGTGCCCGCACGACGTCCGAACAGAAAACTAGAGATCGCCGGAGGGTTAATTGTCGAACAGTTATAAGGTACGGCGTGATTACGCGATGGGAACCGCCGCGGGTTCCGTCGAAGAAGTCATACGGGTGGATATTTCCATTTGTATCGACTATAAATTAACGCGACCGGGAAAAGAGAGAATCCTGGGAGAGAAGGAGCAAAGGAGAGAAAAAAGAGTGAGAGAGAGAATCTCGCGCGAGAGAGAGAGAGAGAGAGAAAGAAAGAGAGAAATCGAGAGAGAGAAAGAGAGAGAAATCGAGAGAGAGAGAGAGAGAGGGGGATATCAAGGGAGAGAAAGAGAGAAAGAGAGAGAGAGAGAGAGGGATATCAAGAGAGAGAAAGAGAGAAATCGAGAGAGAGAGAGATATCAAGACAGAAAGAGAGAGAGAGAGAGAGAGAGAGAGATCAAGACAGAAAGAGAGAGAGAGGGATATCAAGAGAGAGAGAGAGAGAGAGAGAGAGAGAAATCGAAAGAGAGAATCTCGCGAGAGAGAGAATCTCGCGAGAGGGAGGGAGAGAATCTCGGGAGAGAGAGAGAGAATCTCGCGAGAGAGAGAGAGAATTTCGCGCGAGAGAGAGAGAATCTCGCGCGAGAGAGAGAGAATCTTGTGAGAGAGAGAGAGAGAGAGAGAGAGAGAGACGACGCGACGACTGTCAAAGGGGGCGCGTTGACCGGTCAACACAATCGGCGCGCCGGTTGTGTACCATGCCTTTTTCGGCGAACTGTGAACGTAGCCTGAGGTCTGGCATTCCCCTTTCCTCGTCGTCGTCGGCCGGTTCGTCCGGGGTCACCGACGAGGGGTCACGTCGCTCGCATGGCATCGGTGACTTTTTCATTTTTCTCCGCCGCCTCCCTCCTTCCTCTCCCGAGAGACTCCCCCGCCGACCCTCTCCGCCCTCTCCCTCGTTCCTCCTGGATATAGCCAAGGGGCCTGTAGCTGTGTGCGCCGTGCTCGTTGCTGCCTCGTTTAAAGGAGTGGTTTGAACGCATAGGCGCAGCCTTTGCCGAGGATTCTTTTGACCCTGACTCGCCGCGGGTTCGAAGGTGACCGGTTGGCCCGAGAGACGCGGCGGCATTTAGAACTCGCCGCTGCTGAATTATTTTCGTGCCGACTGTCCGATCACGGCCAGGACGATTCTACTTGCGCGCGGCTCCTGAAAACGGTACCTTTTCTTCGGTATTTTCGCTCGACTGACAGGCTCGACAGATTCCCGACGGGTCGTTCGATTTTCTGCGCTTCTCGCGCGCCAGGAGTCTGTTCAGATATCGGATATTAATGATGAAATATCATAATATATAAAAGATTATAATATAAGAATATAATATTATATATATATATATATATATATATATATATATATAATATAATATATATTATAATATATATAAAAGATTCGCACTTTGGTAATAAGACACAACGTCACGAGGACCATGTGTCAGAAGCAACGAACAAAAGCATAACCTTAAACTTCCGTGATCGATAAAGCAGGAAGCTCCAAACCGCCATCTATAGACAAACTATTGACTCGCGTCGATTTTATGCATTCGATCGCACGCAAACGCTTTACACTTCCAGTCCGTACTCGACCGTATCGAACCGTGTTAGATTTCGTAAACACGCGCACACGTTCTTGCTATGTATCGAACAAACTACAAGAGTATTAAAACCATGATACACTGCGTAATTCAAACCTTAACATAATCATCAGTCCGAGTAAGCATTCTGGAACAAGAATAAGTAGAAGACTGGATTTGCCGATTGCCCGACTGTGCGATCGAAAGAACTATGTCAGCGCTTCGAAGGGACGCCGGCCGGCGACGGAGAGGAGAGGGGGAAGACTCTCGAAGTCTCCGCTCGCGGAGCCTCGGTTCGATCGAGCCGTTTCTGCCCTTTAAATGTCAACGCAGGCCCCTCTAATCGCGACGGTGCCTGCGTGGCCGGTGACATCGACCCGAAAAATAACGGTAACGCGTCGTCGGCAGGCCAGGCGCTCTGTCTCGCCGAGCGGTTTTTCTGGCGTTGCGGTGGCCGCGCGCGGCCGGCGGCGCCACCAGTGGTCAAAGGTGCTCGCGTATAAAACCGATGAAGACGCACTTTCTCGCCGAAGCGGGAAGAGAGGATCGCGCCGGTGCATCGACGTGACGGCGCGTAGAGGAGCGATGAGGGAGGAGAGCGGAGAGAGAGAGGCGACACGGCTTACCGCATACTCGCCACTCCGTACGTCACCGGCGCGAAAAGATAAATGCTCGCGATTAGCGATTTATTTGAATTCCCTCTGTTGCGCCGGTGAAGCGGCGACGCTGCTCCTCTTTCCGAGCTTTCCTCTTCCTGGAGGGTTCTCGGGACTCTTCTAATCGCGTGGTTCTTGGCGCCGGAAGCTGCCCCCTTCCCGTTCGATACCAGTGCTCTCGGAACTGCGCGGATTGTGCTCGATGAAATTATAATATATAAATAATAATATACAAATAATATACTACTGTACATTATTAAATATAATATATTAATATATATTATTAATTTATTATATATTAATATATATATTATATATTAATATATATTATTAAGTATAAACGCGTAAAATGTCCAACAATAGTTTCTCAGCTATTATTTATATTATTATAATTTTTATCTAGCTTTTGTTTTTATACGGTCGATGAGAAACAGTTTTATTTTGCATAAATATTCGCGATCTAATTTTATTCATATAATTATATATTCATTAATATAATATTTACATTCAAATCCACTTCGTGTCAAGTGTAAAATAGTTCGCTTTCACAAGTTTTGCAAGAAAAAAAGTAACAACAAATGCTTGAACGAAAATAGTCCATTAAAACAAAAAGTAATAATTTTATTCGATTTTGTACGTTTTCTATCTTGTTATAAACAGTGTTCTATAATTTTCTGTTCCGATAGAAAGCAAGCACTGACATTGAACTCTGCAGAAAACCGGTCGCGACAGCGGTCTCTAGTGATATCATGAAAACATCGGTTAAATAACCAATCGATAATAAACATTTACACTAGATTTGCGGAGCACAAAAAACAGCTGTTTAAAACGTTTATTCTGATTTTTAACAAGTGTTATTGTAATATTTGCCGTAAGTAACATATAAATCGAATAAATAACTCATAATAAATGTATCTTTACGATATGAATAATCGTAAATTAAAAAATCAGTGACCCGTCATTTTGACGGATTCCATAAATCTGTGTTATGAATTTCTTCGCAATTTCTTTTAATTTCTTTTAATTTTCGTCTTGTTTCCAATCGTTACCCGACTCAATTTCTACCATGAGTTATGGGACACCCTGTACATTCAATAAATAAATAACTGAATAATAACGTGAATTGAAGAATTGGTCCAATCGACGCCGCAGTCGCGATGCTCCGAGAATATCGGACCGAATGCGCAGCGTGTCGCGCGCGCAATCCCGGCGGATCTTCGAAATTCTAAATAAGGAAGAAATCTTCGTCACGGCGGAGGGACGGAGGGTGGGGGGCGCGAGGGGCGAGAGGAACGTCGGGTAGCCGAGCGATTAGAATCTGGCTAGGCGGCGCTGCGCGGAGGCCGGCAGCTTCTCGTCGCCGTCGTCGTCGTCGGCGTCGCCTCGAAATTCGTCTTGCATCGACGAGCCGGCAGGATCGTAAATCACTGTATCCGAGGAATCCGCGATTATCCCATCGAAAGCGAGGCTCTCCGCGCGGCGAAGTCCACCGGCAAAGAGACAAACGGACTCCGCGTAAGGTCATTCGAGGGCCGCCGCGAGCCGCGGGACTGTACGCGCTCGAGCACGCTTGCGTTCGCTGAGCGCGCCGGGGAAGGGGGGGAGAAGGAGGCGCGGAGGAGGAGGAGGAGGAGGAAGAAGCGCGGCGGACTCTCGCGTACCTGCATTTCCGCGTTCACGCTGCCGAGCGTCGCCGGGTCGTAGGTCGAATATTCGATAGGCGAACGCCTGCTTAACGGTACATCACGTGCCTGCCCGGGCTTTTGACAATCCGCGTCCCGGCTAATCGACCGGCTACCACCGGCAAGCCTACCGAACGGTTAACGATCGCTACTACCTCGCCTCCGCGCGCCTACGACAAACGGGCGATCCTCAGCGGAGAAAAAGTCCAGCCGGAAAATCGATGTTACGTATATCTTCTGTTTGTTCTTGTTCCGGAACGTTTAACCGAGACTAATGGATACCTCAGTAATAATATTGTCACGGTTTTAATTACGCAGTGTATTACAGCTTTACTGCTTGTAGTTTATTTAATACAGAACAAGAAAACGTGCGCGCGTGGTTTACGAACCGTCTGTATAACACACACGGTTCTCAACACGGTCGCGACCACACGGTCTGAAGTGTGAAGCGTTGCGTGCGATCGAATGTATAAAATCGACGCGAGTCAATAGTTTGCCTATAGATGGCGGTTTAGTGCTGCCTAATTATAATTAATATAATTAATATTATATTATATTATTATATTATATATATAATAAATTATATATAATATATAATAATATAATAATAATAATAGTAATAGTAATAAATATTATTATTATTATTATTATCTATTATCTATTACTTATTATTATCTGTCGAAATTCGCCTTCATCGAGAAATCGCAGCGACACCCACACTTTACCCAGGTCCACCAAAAAAATGTTCCACGTATTTTCTTTAACCTTGACACGATATCGATCGTTCGGGACACCCTGTAGAAACGCTGCTGCACCAGAACCGATTAGCACACGACGATCGGCCGACGACGTAATAAGATTCGTGTACGCGACTCACGGTGGTTGATTTATGAGGCGAACGGTGCTTGAAACCTGAAACCAGCTGTACAGTTAAGTCACTAAACGTTTTACGCGCTCTGTATGCATCGATTCGATCGCTAAGGAATCGTTCGAACGTCGTGATTCGCGCCAACGATCGAGAGAGAGAGAGAGAGAGAGAGAGAGAGAGAGAGAGAGAAAGAAAGAGAGAGAGAGAGACACGAGCGAAACGTGTCGTTCGTACGTGTTCCGTTCGCACGCGGCACTCGCGATTTGAAACGACCTGTATAATTCGGCCGACGATCATTCTGATTACTCTATATGTATAAAGCGAACGTAAAATGTTATGGTTCGTGGCACGGTGTAATAAGGTTGAGACAAGTTACAGCGCCCCGATTTACGACCCAACGGTACTTGAGATCTGAAATGAGCTGTACACCGGTCGTATGTGTCACCTTGTATAGAGATCCAACTACCAGAAACAACTTGATCGCCGCGGTCGTTCGTTCGACTCGTCGATCGAAACAGATTCAAACACGTATTACACAGGGTGTCCCAAAAATGTCTCGCAATCCGGAAATGGTGGTGGATTCCTTAGGTGATTTGAAGCAACTTTTTCCTTAGCGAAAATGCAAACCGCGGCTTCGTTCACGAATTATTAATGGAGAAACGCCGACCAATAAGAAGCGAGCGCTCTGCCGACGCGAGGCGGCCGGCCAACGAGCGCGCGCAGCTCAGCTCCGCTCATTGGCTCGGCCGTCTCTCGCCAGCCGAGCGCTCGCCTCTCGTTGGTCAGCGTTCTTTCGCTAATAACTTGTAAACGAAGCCGCGGATCACATTCGCGCCAAGGAAAAAGTTGCTTCGAATTACCTGAGGAACCTTTTAATATAATTATTCGACGCTATTTATCTTTTCGTAGTAAACGTGTTTCCTAGATATCCGTTATATAATATTGAATGGCGTAGGCGATCGCGAAGGCGAAGAGGGATATCGAGGAAGAAGAAGATACAGGCGCGAAACAGGCGTCGGAGTTGCCATTTGAATCGGCGGATCACGGTGATAGATCTTCATCGAGCACGTGGGCCTCTCCGGCATCCGAACGGCGCCGCGTCGGCGGCCATTTTAAATTCGCGCACGGCTCGCCGCGGGTAGTATCGGGAACATTGATTGACAACTGTATACGTTCAATCACGATTATATTATGGTCGCGTGCGCTCGCGCCCCGGCCCCGGCTTCCATTATATTGGGCCCGTTCGTGGTTCTCCCGTAAGTTTCAATCCGGCCGACAAGATTGACGTCAACAAGACATCGGGTTCCGGCTGAAAATACAAACGTTTAATTCAATCGCGTCTCGCTTCCTCCTCGCCGCGCCCCGGCGAGTCGAGCCGAGCCGAAAGAAATCGATAGGAGCTGGTATACGGCGAACCTCCGGGCGTGAAACAATGTAAATATTAGCTTATTATACGCCAATCACGCGGCTAGAATAACTAGGCGAGTCTGAGCCGCCGGTAACGAGGCGTCGACTTCGTCGATCCGCGCGGTGGGCTCCGCAAACATTTCTGAACGGAAGTGAGAACGCCGGCGAATGAGATCGTATTTCCCGGACAGAAGATTAGTTGGATGCCGTGGGAGAGACGCGATGTGTTTCGATTGAAATCGTGCGCGAAACATGAGAAGATAATGAGAATTTATCGAGTGTATTTCGAACGAGTTTTATATACAGAAGTCGGAAAAGTTGCTCTAAATCGAGAAACGAGGGGTTCCTGAGATCATTTGGAGCAACTTTTTCCTTTGCGCAAACTCGATCCGCGGCTTCGTTCACGAGTTATTAACGAAAGAACGGTGACCAATGGGAGGCGAGTTCGGCCGGCGCGAGCCGGCCGAGCCAATGAGCGCACGAAGCACAGTCCCGCCGATTGGCTCGGTCGCCACGCGCCAGCCGAGCTCGCCGAGCCAACGGGCGCACGAAGCCCAGTCCCGCTGATTGGCTCGGTCGCCGCGCGACGGCCAAGTTCGTCTCTCATTGGTCATTGTTACTTCGTTGGTAACTTGCTAAGGAAAAAGTTGTTATATATTTCTGTGTTAAACGTATTTTCTATTTATCCGTTATATTAAACAGTACCGCTTCTACACTGTCGCGATTCAAGTGAACGAACTGTGACTATTATCGTTTCAATTTCTTGCGAAATTATTTGTAACCTAATTTTGTTGCATCGTGTAACAATTAGACCGCGGATTTTATGCATTTGTGACAGAAATAAATTAAGGAATTTCATCAGTGAAAAGGAATCAGAATTTAAGGATACTGTTACATTGTTTTCAATTTATCACAACTGTTCAAAGAGAGAAGACATTTGATCTGCGACGTTCGAGGTTATGTCGGCGCGGTTCTCTCTGAAAGTTTCTGGATCGTTCGCGGCGTGGACGGAGAGAAAATCGGAGAAGGGACTCGGTCGGGTGTGTAAATCAGAAAAGATCGCGACGTCAGATCCCCGGCGATAGGAAGCGGCTTTTGAAGGCATTGTGCTTGCCGGATTACACGGAATCTATCGCGCATTATACAGGCCGACCGAATAGATAGATAAATGGGCAACGTACGCAGCCAGCGAGAAAGAAAGAGAATAGAAAGAGAGAGAGAGAGAGAGAGAGCGCGAGAGAGTCAAGCTGGGACCACTAAAGAGCACGGTGCCTGGCTCCCTCGAACAATGGGGGTTCTTGGCTATAATCGGAAGTAAGTCTTGTTAGCGTAATGCGTAACTGTACATAGTGACCGGCTAATTTCGCATTATGTCCCATTACGTGTCGACGGATTAAGGGCTTGGGATCGTCGAGAGTCGGCGCTCGCTCGTCCCGCGCGCCCCTCGCCCCGCCGGCAACAACGACCCCGGGCCGATCCACGGAGCAGCCGATAGATGCTCCGCGAGCCTCTTTCAACTCTCGCCGCTGCTTTACCAAATCCGGAGAGCCAGTTCTTTCTGGTAACGGAATCATTTCGCGGAGCTTGCTCTGTGCAGTGGAACACCTCGATTATCGGAGACCCTGTCAACGCTGAGCCCGCTATCAACGAGCGTTTCGCTTTGGGAGAATTACAAGATTAAATTTATTTCGATTTTTCACTATTTTTGTAACAGAGTGTGATGGATGAAAGAGATACGCCGTTCGACAATTTTTAACGGAAGCGGCTTTATGGCTTCGATAGTTATGAAATCAAAAATGTGAAACCGGTCGTTTGACCGACGTGTTGGCGGTGGGTTTAGCGTTAGCGGGACCGTTGCTTCTTTACGCGAAGGTGAAAAACACTTTCAACGTCATCGTGGAACACGCGGCTTCGAGAGGTTAGAAATTAAAAAACAAACGGACGACGTTGGCGCGCCGTTCTCCGTATATGGTATAAGTGTTACAGCGGTTCCTTAATGAAGGCGAACTTTGACGGAGAAAAGAAGAAACTTCTACGTCGATAAAGTGACAACTCGTGATATAAATATTAGTCTTTAACTCGAATATTTACTTCTTTCAAAATATTGGAACTGCGGAAGCGCGAATTTCGTTAAAAAGCGTAATGTAAAGAAATCATATGTGTGACATATGTAGCTATTACTTAGGTTATGTATTGTAGGTTATGTATATCTTACTGCGAGTCGAATGGAGGGAGCGATCGCGAGAGAGAGAGAGAGAGAGAGAGAATGAAATCGAGAGAGTGAGAGAGAGAGAAAGAAATCGAGGGAGAGAGAAAAAGAAATCGAGGGAGAGAGAGAAAGAAATCGGGAAAGAAAGAGAGAGAGAGAGAGGAATCGAGAGAGAAAGAGAGTGTGAGAGAGAAATCGAGAGAGCTATCAAGAGAGAGAGAGAGAGAGAGGAAGAAATCGGGAGAGCTATCGAGAGAGAGAGAGAGAAATCGAGAGAGAGGGATATCAAGCGAGAGAGAGAGAGAGGAAGAGAGAAATCAAGAGAGAGAGAGAGAGGAAAAGAGAAATCGGGAAAGAAAGAGAGAGAGAGAGAGAAATCGAGAGAGCGGGATATCAAGAGAGAGAGAGAGAGGGAGGGATATCAAGAGAGGGAGAGAGAAATCAATCGAGAGAAAGAGAGAAATTGATCGAGAGAGAGGGATATCAAGAGAGAGAGAGAGAGAAATCGAGAGAGAGAGAGAGAGAGAGAGAGAGAGAGAGAGAGGGAGGGATATCAGGAGAGGGAGAGAGAAATCGAGAGAGAGGGATATCAAGAGAGAGAGAGAGAGAGGAAGAGAGAAATCGAGAGAGAGAGAGAGAGAGAGAGAGAAGGAAAGGAAGAGAGAAATAGAAAGAAATATAGGCTCTCGGCGCGATGATAATAACGCCGGGAATGCGGGATTTGCATCCTCCGAAATGGAAATCAGCGATTCCAGTAATCTGAAAACGATTTGCAACATGTTCGCGGGTCGGGGATCCCATTCCGGCCACTCGCGGGGTTCGGCTGGTTCTTCCTGGTCGGGGCAGAGAGGATTTGCACGGTCACGCGATGCTTCGGGAGACCGTTCTTCCCCGCGCGAAAACAATATTACAGGCGCATCAATCTTCCTCTTTCTTCTGGCCTGCGAATCTGCCCTTTCCCCCGGAACGCCGCTGCTCAATTTTGCCCGCGCGCCGAGCGCGGGTTCGCGATCCTCCCGGAAACTCTATCCTCCGCGTTCCACCCGTAAATGCACCCTGTCGGCTCGGCAAAAACTTGGCAAAACATAATTTATCAATTTTCTGCCGCGCCGAGGATCGACCCTCCGGCGCGCGCCCGCGGCCGCTCCGCACCGCCGCTCCGGCTCCAGGGATTCCTCTCGAATCGCGCGACCGTGTGCGTCGCGTCGCGTCGCAGTGGTCCCAATCGATGAAACAGCTGTTCACAAAGATTTCGGCAATGCTTTAAGACGCGAGGACAGTTTTATATAGGTCGTTGAACTCGTCTTGACGTCAGCTATAACACCGTTAAGTGAAAAGAGTATAGTTACGGTTAAAAAATCAAGTCGGCCTTAATTTTTTTATTTAAAAAATTATTTTTTTTTAAGTTTGTACATCGTTGCTTGTAGGGCATCGAGTACTAATTAATTTTTGTTCGAAACATTTTTTTGTCTATGCACCGGAAATAAAATCGTAAGATTGCGATAACGTGTGGATAATAAAATGATGTTTGTTAAGTTTTTATTATTATTTCTATAGCATTTATATAGTTTATATAGTATTTTACGAATTGTGCGAAATCGCTAGATAAAATATTTTACGAACTGTGCGAAATCGCTAAATAAACTATTTTACAAATAGTGCAAAATCGCTGAATAAAATATTTTACAAATAGTGCAAAGTCGCTGAATAAACTATTTTACAAATAGTGCAAAGTCGCTGAATAAACTATTTTACAAATAGTGCAAAGCTGCTAAATAAACTATTTTACAAATAGCGGAAAATCGCTGAATAAACTATTTTGCAAATAGTGCAAAATCGCTGAATAAACTATTTTGCAAATAGTGCAAAATCGCTGAATAAACTATTTCACAAATAGTGCAAAATCGTCAAATAAAATGTTCCACAAATCGTGCAAAAAATCGTCCAATAAAATGTTCCACGAATCGTGCCAAACGGTTGAACAAACTGCCTCGCAAATATGTGCAGAATTGCGAGATAAAGTGCTCCACAGATCGCGCAAAATCGCGAAATAAAACGCTCCGCCATCTGTTCGAAATCGCTGAATAAACTGCTCCGAGAACCGCGCGAAATCGTCGAATGAAATGCTCCGCGAGTCGCGCGCAAATCGCGCGAAATAAAATGCTTCGGAAATTGCGCGGAATCGCTGAATAAAATGTTTGACAAGCTGCGGGAAACGTGCAAAAGTAAGATGCTTCGCGAATCGCGCGCGCGCAAACAGCGCGAGCAAAGTGCAAAGGACCAAAGCGAAGACGTCGGAGGCGGCCGATCGGTTCCCGTACAAGGGAAAACGAAAGGCGTCGCGTAACGTAACACGCGAACGGCGGGATTCCACGGTGTTTCGCGAAACTGGCATGGCCCGGCCGCGAAAAGTGCATCTGCGTACGCGGCGCGCGGTCGTGGGTGCAGGACGACGCTGCTGCACCGGTGCGCGCGCGGCGTTGCTGCTGCTGCCGATGGTGCTGCCGGTGCTCATTGACATTTAACTTTCGAAATTGAACAGAGAGCGGCGGGACGCGGCCTCTCAGACCGCGGCAAAATACCACCGGGCAGATAGAGCTAACATTTAAATGCCATTGCTGCCCCGCAAGACGCATGGCTGCGCCGAGATGCACCTGAAAGGGCTCCGCGACACGCTTGTTGTTCCTCTTCGCTGTTTCGATGAGAACGAACCCGTTTGCCGCGTCGTAATCCCAGGAGTTATGCTCTTCTTTTCGGCCGCGCAAACACCGTTCTACACGGTGTCTCAAAAAATGTCTCGCAATCCGGAAATGGCGGGTTGCTCGGATCATTTGAAGCAACTTTTTCCTTTGCGAAAATGTTCTCCGAGGCACCGTTAACGTGTTATCAACGAAAAACAGTGCGCCAATAAGAATCGAGTACGGCCGACGCGAGGCGGCCCGGCCAACCGGCGCGCGAAGCCCAGTTCCGCTCATTGGCTCGGTCGCCTCCGCGCCAGCCGAGCTCGCCTCTCATTGGTCCGCGCGTTTCGTGGAGCTTGGCAATTTTCAATGTGACTAACATGGCTTCGGATTTAAAGGGTTACAGCGATGAGAGTGCATCGAACTTAAAATCGAGAAACACGATGCTAAAGTAGAGGTTTCAAGCTTTAATTTAAAAATATCGTCGTCATTTTACGATGATTTTTCGCGAAGTTATCGTCGATCAAAGTTGACCTATTTTTATCTAAAATTTCTCTATGCTATAATATTTATTGACCATTTATTATTGTACGTTAGTTTGTAAAAGTAACAATAATACATTTATTCTGAAGTAAACGTTGAATAAATAATATATACACGTTATTATTATAATTTATATTATTTATGTGTGTATATATAAATATATATAAATATTATGTTAATATATATAATATAAATATGTATATATATATATATATATTAATATTATTATTTATATGTATATATTTATTATTATATATAATATATATATTAATATACATATAATTTATATATAATATATTTATTATACAACATATTTATATAATATATTATAATATATTTAATATATTTACATAACAATTCATAAACGTATCCGTACTATTCGAATAACAATGAATGAAAAAACTAATTATTTCGACGATTTCCGTGAACGTGAAACAAATGAACACATATCGAATAAATAATTTACAAACGTATCTTTGCAATCTTGATAACGGTGAATGCAAAAACTGGTGGCCGGTGATGCTGACGGTTTCCGTGAGCCAAGAGAGGGCTGAAAAAGTAACCAGCTGATTGCCACACCACGTGGCGTCGCGTCGGTCTCGCTGAAAGCGGCGGCACTAAACGGTCAGCCTCGAGAACCTCCGGGTTCGCGATTCCGCGCGCATTAGGCCACGCGA